AAAAAAAAAAAAAAAAAAAAAAAAAAAAAAAAAACAAAGAAACACAAATTGCATGATGTACAACACACAACAATCAACCATCTATCTAGTAAGGCAAGCTGTTGGAGCTTGAACTTACAGCCAAGGCCTTAAGCTTCAAACCCTCCTCATCCCCATTCATCGCCCGGCTCGTGATCGTCTCCAAATTCTTATACAAACTTTCCTTAACGATTTTCCTCATCAGCACCTTCCCCTCCTCTGCCCCCATCCGGTCCTCCTCCGGGCCCGGCCCGACCACTCCCTGCGGGCCCGAATGCGGGCCCACCCTCATCTCCCGCCGCTCTTCCTTGAACCACTGCAGTATCTTGAGGGCCCTCTTCCGGCCCAACGCGCTTCCCAGCAAAGCCAGCCCGAGAAGCACCTGAACAATCCCCGCCTCGGCCATTCTCTGCCTCTGCACCGGGCACTGGTGGGCCAACACCATTAGTATATAGGCCGATAGTTCTTGACATTTTGGGCTTTCTTCCCACGTTGTGATCTCTATGAACTGCTCGGGAACCGTCGGGTTTTGCTCGATCGACCTTTTCCCGGCTAAGGTCACGACCAAGTTGCCCAAAATCGCTAACGATTTTTCAGACATGTCTTTTGCGGACGATAGGTTTATCAAACGGTCGACAGTGCCGTTGGAAATTAAAATTTCGGTGTTCTCGAGGACAGACGAGAGGTTGTATAGCGCGGTTAGGCACGTTTTTTTGGTCTCGGTGCATGACGAAGTTGTTGAATCGAGAATGAAGAGTAGAGTGGGAACGATTTTTGACGAGTCGAGGGAGAATTTGCTCTTGGCGAGAGATGATACTGACAAAAGGAGATGAGCGAGTTCTTGTTTCGATGTTTCGTCTAAGGCGTTGATGTTGTTGTTTGGTAATCTTGATAAGAGTCCTGCCTCCACCATTAGAGCCTTGTTCCTGAAAGATAATGGATAAGCAATGCTATTATAAACAGTGCAGAAACTATAGACATTGTATGCAAAGGAGATGAAAGTCATCAAGATTCTCTCAACCATATCTGACTTTCGAAAACTGAAGTCGACGTTCAACTACTCCTTCGAGTATATTTGTCATCTCCAGAAATTAATTTACTTACATAAATAGAATTATTCACAGCTCAAAACAGTTCAAGCAGCTGCAGAGTAAATTGCAGAATAGTACCTATTCCAACAATAAGAGGAGGAAAGAAGAAAAACAATATATGGTTTGTATTCAAGAGGCTTAATAAGTGATTAACTGACTAAACGAAAGTCGATTTACGTCATTATGTGTGTCCGATT